AGTGGAATCTTATGGACACCTACTGGATGTAGAGAGGTTTAGAAAAGATCAACATAAATCTACAAAATTAGAATAAATTTCTAGACATAAAGTTAAAGAAATTCATGGGAAATAATAGATAAAAAATATCTTTATTGGTTTTCAAACACTTTCTCTTTATGCTGATTTTGCAAATGGAGTTTTTTAATTCATCCAAAAAAGCATCCTCTGATAATAAAAGTTGGTGTTAAGAAACAGGAATTAAATAGTTAAGGCAGGATTTATAAGTGGAAAAATTAAAAATTTATATAAAAATTATTGAGATTTTTAACAAACAAAAAAAGCCAGAAGCTATAGTTTAAAACCATACACTATTTACTAGTAACAGTTCTTTAAAATTTAAAAATTTTTACCACTATTGATAATTTTCTTAACTTTCTACCTAAATGTTTGTTTGCATGAAGTGTGTGAAAATGTTCACCCAGGAGTAATCAAAACAGGTATATAGCAACCACAGGTGGAGGGATGAACTAAAGAAGTACAGATCTCATTAATGTTGTTGAAGTTTATTTTTACACATTTTCTAACCCCAGAAATTTCCTGGTTGTTTCCCTGGAGGGTCACTTGAATACTTATCATTTCTGAAGAGGAAAAAAACCTCAGAGCCATGTTTTACTGTATGTGGTTTTTGGATCACCTGTCACTGAATCACTTGGGGTGCTTTTTAATGACTAAAGATTCCAGCACTCCCATTTCCAGAAATTCTAAATGGGTCTGGAATATTCCCAGAAGTCTGGAATTTTAACACGTAACCTAAGTGATGGCCTTAGAGATAAGAAGTCATCCCCCTTCCTCATATGATGCCATTTACACCTAAAGAGATTAACTTAATTATCTTAGCCAATTAGAGCAAGAATGAAAACCCAGCACTGCTACCACACAGTCCAATCATCTTTGCTATAAACGAGTTTCCTCTTTAATAGCTCTTCAACATATGCTGTAATAGCTACTCTTCCTCCTCTGTCCACTGTCAGTTTACTCTCTGAAGTGACTCCAGAGTAAACTGGTAAAACTGTATACACAGAGGCAAGGAAAATGAAAATAGTTCATATATAAGGGTAGTAAGATTCTAGGTCAATTGTCATTTTTTTAATTCAAGTTATTAAGTTATGTGGGCAACTAATTCACTTTTTAAAAATAATAAAAAACTATTAAGCTTTGGTGCATGGCATTAAATTAGATCCACTACAAATTAAGATACCGGAGATCAAACCTAACACCTCTTACATTTTTTATGATGAACAGATTTTTCCATAACCTTTTAAAATAACAGATTATTTTGTGTGTGTGTGTATAAAACTTTTAGAAGTTGTATTAAACTATTTTACTATCATTTAGTACTTTTCCTAAAACATAGGTCTGATGCCCCCATGTCCACTGGTTTAAAGCCCCCTCATTCAGGGGAAAGAAAGATTCCTCAGAAAGTCACACACAGTTCTCCATCCTACCTGCTCAACCATGTGAAATAAGCTGCGGACAACTTTCCTTCTGGAGAGAAAGGTGCATACCAGGACGTAAAAAGGAGATGAAAACAGAACAATACTGTCAGGGTCTAAACATAAAAGGCCTTCCTTAACTTATCCACTCAATTCTGAGCCAATTAGTGCTTTAAAACTTGGCTTAAGACCAAGTCCTTTAAGACCTGGCTCCATAATTTGATACAATGTTTTTAAAAAAATACATACATAAACAGTAGTATGCCCTTTTTTTAAGGGTTCATATATAACCCACCCACTGCCTTTGAGTCAATTCCAACTCAAAGAGACCCCATAGGGTTTTCAAGACTGTAGATCTCTGCGAAAGCAGACTGCCACATCTTTCTCCCATGGAGCTGATGGTGGTTTCGAACTGCTGACCATTCGGTTAGCAATTGATCACTTTAACTACTGCACCAGCAGGGCTCTTTAAGGATACATACATATGCAACTTAATATATATAAAAAAGGACTTGAAATACACATATATCAAAATATAATTACTTCTCAAGAGATGGGGGAAGGAGTCTAGGGCCCTATCACTAATGCTTTAATTTTTAAGAAGGAAAATATACTCATTTACTACTTGTGTACATGAAAGTAGGAGCCATGGTGGCTCAGTGGTTAAACTACTTGGCTGCTAACTGAAAGGTTGATGGTTTCAATCCACCAACCACTCCATGGGAGAAAGATGTGGCAGCCTGCTTCCACAAGGATTACAGCTTTGGAAACCCTATGGGGCAGTTCTACTCTGTACTACAGGGTTGCTATGAATCGAAATTGACTCGACTGCAATGGGTTGGGTTTGGTTTTGTTAGTACAAGAAAGTGTTTCTAATTCTCAGGCTTAGTTAGATGTGCCATTTCTGCACGTCTCTACAATTCCTGCCCAAATCCAATAGAGCACTGAGCTCAGCATCATAAAGGCTGCTCTTCTCTGATTTCATCTCCTAGAAGACCTCACCTGTGTCTTTCTTGTCAGCATGCACATCACTATTAGAGTGTCTGCCATATTATATGCAATATTTATTGAACGCATACTCTGAAACTCCTAAGCAAGTAAGTTATTCAAGGAAAAGAATCCTTCAGCCATTTCTAAAAAGTCACTAGTCAGGAAATTTCTTTTCAACGTAGACTTTTAAAAGACAGTTTGGTATTGTGATTAAAAAGCTAGACTAAGAGTTGTAAGATACACGTGAAAGCTGGACAATAAAAAGGAAGACCGAGGAAGAATTGACGCCTTTAAATTGTGGTGTTGGTGAAGAAGCCTGAATATACCATGGACTGCCAGAAGAAGTACAGCCAGAATGTCCGAAGAAGCAAGGATGGTGAGACTCTGTCTCACATACTTTGGACATTTTATGAGGAGGGACGAGTCCCTGGAGAAGAACATCATGATTGGTAAAGTACAGGGTCAGCAAAAAAGAGGAAGACTCTCAATGAGATGGATTAACACAGTGGCTGCAACAATGGGCTCAAACATAGCAACAATTGTGAGGATGGTGGAAGACCAGGCAGTGTTTCGTTCTGTTGTACACAGGGTCTCTATGAGTTGGAACTGACCTGACACCACCTAACACCACAACTTACAAAGTTCTGGTTTTAAATTACTCTACATGATAAACCGTCATCTTTGACGAGTTATTTAATCCTCATTTTCCCATCTATAAATCATAGATGAGAATATCTTCCTCCTAGATTTTCCGGGAAGATTAAAATGAAATATTTATAAATTAATTAGCCTAGTACCTGATACTCAAGAAATGGTAATCACTATTACTGATATTAGAAGTCCCTGGATGGCACAAACAGTCAAGCATTCAACTACTATACAAAAAGTTGGTAGTTCAAATCCACCCAGAGGCACCTCAGAAGACAGGCCTGGTGATCTGCTTCTGAAAGGTCACAGCCTTGAAAACCCTATGGCAAGTTCTACTCTGTTCACATGGCATCACCATGAGTTGGAATTGATTTGATGGCAACTAACAACTGCTATTTATACTCAATTACTAATACTAAAGCATAGTGTCACATAATTTTTCACTAATCAGAAAGTGTTAATAAAACTTTAAAATATCTACCTAACTTCTAGGAAATAACAAAACTCAGACAATTTAGCCTATGTGAGTGATGAAATTAGTAATTTGAAGTCCACCAAGTCTGTGCAAGTAAAAAAAAAAAAAAAAGAATGCTGCAATTAACTTGGCAGAGTAACTTCCATACTGATATATGCAAATTAAGCATTTTTAACCTTCATTTCAATAAGAAAAGTTTTAATCATCTTACTTCATAGACTGAAATGTTCATATTCAGTTTGTACATGTTATTAAGCTGTACGTCACTATTCTTCTTGAGGAATATGTTAACTATCCAAGTTATTAATATGCCAACAGTGTTGAAATGATGACTTCCACAGTTAATTGGCTAAGAAATCTTATCCAAAAAACATAATGAATAAATTTACACTGAAGTTCAGAGGAAGCTTTGGATAAAGGCTATAGTTAACTTGTATGAAACTACTGTTTGTTTTCAGTTGATATCTTTAATATTTATTATGAAAACACTCAGCATTTATATTTAACCTTACCATAACCCATTATAATCTATCATAACATGAGTTCCTCTTTGATCAGATATCTAAAGCACACAGTTTAATTCCACAAATACTTTACTAGGCATCTAATATATTCTAGACTGAAAGAGTTAAGGTATAAGAAGTTATTCCCAATAAGAATAACTTGTTGGGAAGAATGTATTTACATGCATTAAAAACCAAAATTATAAGGGAAAAGAAAGTCTACAGAAGCAAATGGTGTTAACAGAATGCACCAAAACTTTATTTTGCCATTATTTCCCTTAAAATATTTATATTCTTTATTGAATCCTTTGATATTAACCAAATTCAATAACCCAACAATTCAAGTCTATTATTGATAGGCAGGCAGACAGACAAACAGATACACAGGTGTGTGTGTGTGTGCATCATTTTCCTCTAGTCAATTAGTTCCCCTGCAAGGCAACACATCTGCTCAAAAAAACAAAAAACAAAACAAAACCACCTGTAAACTCAAGAAAACATATTACCTACGCTTGGTCTATAATTTTGTATCACACAAAACAAGATGAGCACAGCAGGCACAGAACTGGGCCTATTTCATCAACAGCTGTAATGGTTAATTGGCTCTTAATTACTCTTCCATGTAGTTTTATAATGTTACTTCAACTAAGGAATACTTTTCAAAAATTATTTTCAAGGATTCTCTTTACTTGATCCCTTAAAAAGCTGACATACAGCCTCAAATCCGATGTAGGTAACCTTCCTGCTGCTGAAGGAACTGAGAGAATTCACCACAACAATTCTTTCTTTGTGTGGAGTATTCAAGGTAAAAGCAACTCTACAAGAAAAAACAATAATAATTCTAACAAACAGCACAGTTATTAATGTAATCAAGGAACAGCAACTTGCAATTGCTGTAACACAGCTCACCTGCTCATTTTTGCAAAGCCGCACACTGTTTCCACTTAACACAGTAAAGATTTTGGCTTTATAGCCTCTCAATTCAAGATACCCAAATTTCTCAGGTGCAGCAACTGTTTGAGACTGCGGGGTAAGGGACTGCGATTTCAGTGCATTTAACAGTATGCTGATCCATTCATTTCTCTCCTCTGAAAATAAAGACAGGATAAAGTGCATAAATACATATTTATATAAGCTAGATAGCCACAGAAATGTGAACACTTATCTGCAACAAACAAATCACAGATTCTTTCTACAAATCTACATGCTATTGTAGGCAGGAACAAATGGCCCAATTCTATACGGGAAAAGAGAAACACTGCTCAGCCATCTTGAAACCAGTACCAAAGGCTTCACCTGGGAGCTTGTTAGAAAGGCAAACTCTCAGGCCCCACCCCAGACCTGGTGAATCAGAATCTGCATTTTAAGAAGATCCCCAGGTGATTTGTATGCATGTTAATATTTGAGAAGCTCTCTTCTAGATTATTCATGAAATGGATTGTCTCTCTTAATAGAAGAAAGTGATATTGCTCTCCATCAATTAACAAGTTGTACTGGGCAAGTCACTTATTCAAATATCCCAAAAGTCTTTCTTTCAAGTTTACAGTTACTTGGTACCTATCCTACTTAAATCGTATGCCTTTATATTCACTCACCCATTCTTTCTCACCACAGCACATCATCTAGTAAAACTTGGTTCTCTCACTCATTCCACAAATATTAAGTGACCTTCAACTACCTACAACAGACTGTGTTACGGGAATAAGAATTTGATCTAGTCCCCAAAGAGCAATGAAAACCATAAGTCAAGTTAGATTTGAACATATAATGGAACATAGCATAACAAAAATATCATAGAAATGGTTCCAAATAATATATGAGTCAATTGGATCAGGTAAGTTATTTGCTGAAGGTCATATAGCAAGTGATCATTAGAATTAGAAAAATCAAATGTTTTAACTCTCAGATAACTATTCTTGGCACTATCATAAAAGGGTATCTGTGCTAGGTCTTCAAAAGACAAAACTGGAGTTTGGAAGTGGGAAAAGCAGAAGTAGGATTCTAAGCAGAGAGAGACACAAGAATAAAGGCAGGAAGAACTAACATATGTTCAGGGACTAACCTGTAGATTCGTATATTTAAAATTTTGGATTCACAAGGAAATAAGGGGAAATGTGACTAGAGAATCTGCACTATGTAATTTTGTCTTTAGTAGGATTCTTAGCAAGAAAGGGACAAGTTTAGAATGACAGCAGGTAGACTACCTCTTCTGAAAGCTTGGAGATGAGGAATAAGGCAATAAAAAACCCCAAACCAAACCCACTGCCATCAAGTCGATTCCGACTCATAGCGACCCTATAGGATAGAAAACTGCCCCATAGAGTTGCCACGGCTGTAAATCTTTATGGAAGCAGACTGCCATATCTTTCTTCCACAGAGTGGCTGATGGGCTCGAACCGCTGACCTTTCGGTTAGCAGTAGAGTGCTTTAACCACTGAGCCACCAAGGCTCCTGAATGAGACACAGGGGCTTAAAATACAATGAAAATGGAAACAAAAGAACATACAAAGAGTCAAGACATTAAGAAGGGTAAAAAATGGCTAAGGTTTTGAATATATTTGACAGATAAAACCAAAAAACCAAACTCACTGCCATCGAGCAGATTCCGACTCATAGTGACCCTCTAGGACAAAGTAGAACTGCCCCATAGGGTTTCCAAGGAGGACCTGGTAGATTCAAACTGCCGACCTTTTGGTTAGCAGCCATAGCTCTTAACCAGTTTGCCACCAGGGTTTCCATGTGACAGACAGTCACAATAAAATACTCAGAAAAAAAGGTAGTTTGCAATCATGAATTGGCCACACAAAAAAGGTAAGAGATTGTTTTATTAACAGAACCATCTCGGTTTTCTCAGTCTCTTGCTACTAGCAACCTGATAATGGAAGTAACCAAGTGACCATGGAAGTGGATAAACTTTTTAATGTAAAGGAAGAAATGGACAAATCTTGAGGTACAACTGTATCTATGAGGTTGTAATGGGGACTAATCACAAAAAAAAAAAAAAAAAAAAAAAGTGATTATCAATGCAAAAAAAAAAAAGTCTGAATCCCAGGTAGGGAAAATGTTTCAAGAAAGAAAAAGTAAACAAGGGCCAAGCATTGGAAATTAGACAGTTTTTCTCAGATCCTTTTAAGACAAGTCTGCACAGAATAACTTCATTGTGTACTGTAATAAGTGTCCATATCAGCCTTGTCCACATTCAAACATAAATCCAAAGGTATTTCATAATTATGAGTCTTAAGTTTTAAATTATCTTCGTTTTTGCACACCTCCAAAACTACTAAAAACGGTTGTGTATTTAATGACCAAAGCCAAAGTATTTATTAAAAAATTATTCAACGTTTTATTGCATGATTCCCAAGTAAAGGTGCTTGTTCCTATATATCAGGATGAACTATTTATTAAACTTCCTCAACATCATTATATATCATAAACTAAAAGACAGGAAAATATTCAGGCAGCTAAGTTAATATGAATACGTAGCAGCTACTCTACATGTTGGGGCCCTGGTGACACAGTGGTTAAGGGCTTGGCTGCTAACCAAAAGGTTGGCAGTTCCAATCCACCAGCCGCTCCTTGGAAACCCTATGGGGCAGTTCTACTCTGTCCTATATGGTCGCTGTGAGTCAGAAACGACTCGACAGCAATGGGTTTGGTTTTCTGGTTTTACTCTACATGTTACATCTACATAAAAGATCCAGACTGCACTATTATAATTTATTGCATTTTCAGTGACAGCAACAGACCTTCAATTTAACTTGGTTATTATTACTTGTGTTCATTAATTTCACATACAATATTCACGCCAAGTAAATGGTATGTAATGATTTTTTGTTTGTGTTAACCTTTATAAATCAGAGTTTAAAATGTAGATCCAAATGTGGGCCAAAGTGTCTGTGGCTTTAGATTACCATTAGCATATGACTCAGTATCTCAGGGATTCACTGGAAACTGGCATTTGCATCTGTTGGATTTAAGCATATTATGGCTGCATCTCAACAAATGGTTCCCTTACAGTCTAGAAGAATTATCTAGTTCCTGAGGGCCTCATTTACTAATAGGAAGTAAACACTCATGAAAAGAAGAAGGATTAACAGTAACATACAGTTTATTCTTAATTACCCACACCATTGGACAGAAACTGTGGTACAGATAATTCAAACACAATAAAACCGATTACAGGTGTCATTTGTATTTGGCTGGGCATGTGTGCAATCTTAGGCATGGGAATACATTCTGATAAGTCACAATATTCCAAACTAAATAATCATTTCCCCTTGGAAAGGTGTCCTGGGCACAGCTGGATAGTATGCTAGCTTTTACTTGTGTTTTACACCAAGATACTTTTTTATTCTTCCCAATAACAAATATTTATTGCATGCCTATATTGATCTTAACACTGTGCTAAAGCACCAATCCTTCGGAGAATACGCTCTGACCCAGACATGGCTTTGCTATAACTATAGCATTGCATATTGGGAAAAAAGGACAGGGTAGCAGGGAAAACAAAGAATAAGATTTTAAATAGTCATGTTCTTGTGATTATACTAGAGCGTAAACAAAAGATAATATCAGTTCTCTCAATCTTAAATTAGTTCTTGAGGTTTTCAGAAATGCCAGCGTATAGTGTAAGAATCAAAAAAAGGAAGTAAAATAAATTCAAAAGGAGACACTTAATATTCTCTGAATTTCTGGACTTAGCCGGAATGGCATATTCGTTAGTAACTAAAGGTTGATTATACTGGGGATTACTACTTAAAGGACATGCAAAACATCAATACCATAATCTAACAAAGTTTAGCTGGACTCTTACTTTTTGATATGATAATATAATCTAATAAAAAATCCCTCTATATAACCATGATCAATATTAGAGGAAGAAGTATTGCACATTAGAGTTAGTCTTGAAATCAATAACCAATCATTCATATAAATATTTACTGAATACCTACTCTGTTCCAGGAACTAAACTGAATATGAGGAATAGAGCAGTGAACAAAACATACAAGGGTCAAACTCTCCTGCAGTTTATACTCTAGTGAATGGAAAAAGGCAATAAAACATAGATATATAATATATTACACAGTAACAAGTGCAATGGGAAAAAATAAAGCACAGAATAAGGGGTATAGAGAACATAAGGAGCTGGAGGAAGGGTTGCTATTTTTTATAGGGCAGTAGAAAAAGCTGCAGGAAGGAGATGGCTGAACAAAAGTCTGAAGGAAGTAATGAAGCAAGCTGGGAGAAGAGCATTCCAGGATAAGGACAATTGCAAGTATCAAGCCCCCAAGGCAACAGCAGACTTGGCAAGTTCAAGGAACACGAGGCCCCTGTAGTTGAAATGGAGGGAGAACATGGAAGCACACAAGGACAGAGGGGCAAATCACATAGGTGTGTTAGGGCACCATAAGGACTTTACTGTCAGTGAGATGGAAAGACAAGGAGGCATTTGAAATGGACTGATAGGATGTGACTTTCTTTTAAAGCATCACTGCAAGAATCGTGTTGAAAACATGACTGTCTCTGATCAAGGGAGGTTATTGCAATAACCTAGACAGAAAAAAAAACCAAAAAAACCCATTGCCACGGAGTCGATTCTGACTCATAGCAATCCTATAAAGTGGTAGTTTATTCCAGAGTGGTAGTGGTGGAGGTGTTGAGAATTAGTCAGAATCCAGACGTATTTCCAAAGTGACACTAAGAAGATTTGCTGATGGATTAGATGAAATATCAGAGAAGGAAAAAGATTCAAGAATGACTCCACAGTTTATGGTCTAAGCACTTGAAAGGATGGACTACCATTTACTGAGATGGGGAAGATTACAAGGGAAGAAGGTTTGCCAAAGAGTGTGGAAAGAGGAATTTGGACATCGGAAGTTTGAGATGCTATTAAACATCCACATTGAGATGTCAAGTAGGTAGCTGAATCTATGATTCTGAAGTTCCAGGGAGATGCTGAAGATGGAGACACACATTTGGGAACAGTCACCATATAAGCAATTTTAAAACCTTGAAATCTACTTCAAAACTATACTTGGAGGCCATAACAAAATATTTTTAAAGGAATTTAGAGTATTAGCCAAGTTCCTGAATTTACCTTATGTCAGAAACTTCCTGAAGACCATGATGTAGTCTACAAAGTAGACACTTAGGAAACTGAGATTAAATATGACAAGAAAGTAAAGGGATATCAAATGCTCCGTCTCTTCCTTGTAAAAACATTGAAAATCTCAAAAGTAAGCTTGCTTACCCAAAAACTAAGGGAAATTTATATGTTTCTTATAGGAAGTGTTCTTTAAAAAAAAAAAAAAAAAAAAAGGTTTGCATTATCACAGCTACCACTGGAGGGCTGCATATTGCCATATAGAAACACAGAACTAAGAGAAAGACAGACTTGACTGTCTCTCAGGGGTCTAATATCTACTAAGGTGGCCAGAAATAGAGGGAACCTCCAAAAAGACCTGAAGTTGGAGAGCTAGTACTGAAAATGCCCCTGGAAAGAGACTGACCACTCAGAATTCTTAAGCCCTCTTCTAATGATGAGAGCTGGCCACTCAAAAAATCACCTGCAAGAGGTAACACATCATCATGAATGACTACAGGTGCCGCTGGGAATACAAACTGACTGGAGATACCATTAGCTGTTATGACCTGACCAATTCAACAGTTCTGCTTGAGGACATAAGGAATCAGACAAAATTTCTACTTAAGGAATAATATTTTTAAAAGTTATTATTTCTATATAATTCACTTTTTAACAAAGTGAGGCCTCAGAAAACTTATGAGTAAACATGTCCAGCTGTAATGCCAGTGGGTGATGCAACAGTTCCGAAATGCACCAGTCTCAGGGGAGGATAAGTATAGCTATTGAGAACATGGGTTCTGGAGTCACAGAGGTTTGAATCCTGGCTCCAACACTTCAGGGCAAATTATGTAATCTCTAAACCTCAATTTTCTAATCTCTAAAAAGGATAAATTTCCTACAGCATAGGATTATGAGGAATTAAATGACAATGTACATTTAAAAAAATTCAGTACTGCTCATGGCACCAAGTAAACTCTAAAAAGCAGTTATTACTTCATACTTAGAACGGGCTAGTGTACACACACTTCTTCATTTTCACCTTTTCTATATTGGATTGCCCCATGATGTTTTGTATAAAGTCGTGTCTACTCTTTGGACAAAAACATTGTGGAAGATGACTATTGTTGTAGATAGGTCACTCGAAACATTTTCACCAAAAGTGAAGAATCTATCTCTGTTAAGATGTCAAACCATTTCTTACCCCTTTCTGTTCTAAATTTTGATCTTGCTTCTTGATTAGACAGGGGCAAATTCTAATTTGTCTTAAAGCTCATTAACTTAAATTTTTTATAAGCCACTATGGTTGATTTCCTATTTCCCATAAAATAAAAAATAATCAACTACTTATATACATGGGAGGAAGATCACTTAATAAAATATATTTAATATCTTGGTGAAGGGGCATACCAAATACACACACACATATAATTCTATAAAGTAGATATTACTCTCATTTCATAAATGAGGAAACTGAGATAGACAGAAACAAAATAATTTGCTGATGGTTATACAGCCACTAAATGGGTGACTTTTAAGTGTGTAAATTGTTACTACCTAAAAATGACTTTTAATGAAAATAATTTACGGTCTCAGTTTTTACTGACGGAGTATTCCATGACTTCAAATATTAAAGACCTAAAACTTAACAAACTATAATTTATGCCAAAATTAATAAAATTCTTATAGAAACTTTCTAACACAAAGATGAACCATAAATCATAAATGGTTAATTGTAAGCATGTAACTTTTCAACATGTGTGGGTTGATACATTCTACTTAAATAAAATGTGTCTGTTTAACTTCTAACTGTAGCAAGTAAATATGGTTAAACAGATTTTCACACAAGCTGGAGGTTTTATTTAGTATGTCTATCTTAAAACACAGGCTATGTGGCATATGTGAAATTCACTTTGAGAGAGAGGTCCATGGGGTAGGTAATAAACACCTCAAAGAAACAGGACAGTGGAAATGGAGGCATAAGGAAAGACTACCAGGACAGCTAACCGAGAGAAATACAGTGTGTTTCAAAGAACCATAGAAAGAGAAAAACTGTGGTTTCAAATGCAAGTCCCATATTAAGTCTCACAACTGTGGACAACTTTCTGAATTTCAATCAATGATTCACACAAATTAGCTTCTCACATAGGCAATTCTATATAAAATGCTCTAGAATAGGGATTTGGCCAACTTTTTCTGTACAGGGTCAGACAGCAAATAATTAAGGCTTTACAGGCCATATGTATGGTTGCTGCTACAACTACTCAACTCTGCCATTAAGCCACAAAAAACAGCAATAGACAACATGTAAATGCATGACAGTGGCTGTGATCCAATAAGACTTCATTTGCAAAAATAGGCAGCAGATCAGATTTAGACTTCAAGACACAGCTTGCTGACACCTGGCTCAAGGGCTATAGCTTTCAACATTTTTTAATAGCAAGTCAATAAAGAAACATTTTTTATATTACATATGTGCAATATATACATATGTATATTTCACAATGCTTACTATAAGCAATGTGCTTTCATATCCTGATTCTATTTTATTTATTTATTTTCTTTTTTGGTATGGTCATATACCACTAAGTTGATCGCATGAATGGGCAGTGATCTACATTTTAAAAATACTGCTCCAGTGTGAATAGCAGTGAGACTGATTATCCTAAGCAATAAGGGAAGCTCTTTAGCAATAGTAATAGATGGCATTACCTATATTACTTAAAACTAGTGTAAATCACAACAATGACATATTATAATAAACTCACTGCTGTCAAGTCCATTCCAACTCATAGCGACCCTATAGGACTGAGGAGAACTGCCCCATAGGGTTTCCAGAGAGCGACTGGTGGATTCAAACTGCTATGAAATTACACAGCAGAGAAATTTTAACTTCCCTGGCTTTCTGCATCCCCCCAAAAAAGAGTCAGAAAAGGTTTCTCCGTACATCTTTACACTCCACACAGAAGCCACAAGCCATCTTTAGACCAATTTTCACCATAAAGTGATCCATAGTAGATGACAGTGAAAAGAATTCAATAAATATAAAAGATGCCCCAAAATCTGTAAGAGAATAATTACTGCGCCTAAGTGTTCAGCTAAAATTTTCCATACATAAACCTACATAAAATCAACTTTTCAATAAGAAAAAAAGTGCATAGATACCTATTTTGCATTATCAAAACAACAGCTAAAGTGTGAGCTCCTTGAAGGTAGAGATTTTTGTTTACTTTTTTCACTGCTGTGTCCCCAGAGCTTAGAAGTAGAATCTCACTAAATATTTGTCTCGTGAAAGAATAAGTAAACCAACAACAAATTACTTGTTAACTTATTTATGTTTAGAAGCCCTGGTGGCACAGTGGTTAAGCACTCTGCTGCTAACCAAAAGGTGAACTGTTGGAACTCACCAGCCGCTCCATGGAAGAAAGATGTGGCAGTCTACTTCCATAAGATTACAGCCTTGGAAATCCTATAGGGCAGTTCTACTCTGTCACAGAGGGTCAATACAAGTCAGAAATCAACTCGATGGCATTTAGTTTTTATTTGTATTTTAACACTATGGCATTCAAAAAATGAATCATAAAAATACAAACTTTTAAAAATAAATTTATTTAAAGGTTTACATTTAGCTTAACTGATTCATTAATCTTCTGATTGGGCAGAATTTAGTATCTGTGAATATTTTATAGGAGTAAAGAAATCATCTTACCTTCTTTTTCTACTCTAAAAACAAAAGTTCTTTGTGTTGTAACAACTTCGAACTTGTTGTCTCCTTGAACTCTTATTGTAGATACAGCAGAAAGGGGAATTATTCCTTTTGAATACATCTCCTATATTGATTAAAGAAAAAGATACATACAGAAGACACATTAAAATGGAGTTCTCTTGATCTTGCTCAAAAAGAGAATAGCATAAGTATTTACCATTGTTTCCCTTTTATATCTTCAATCTAAATTTTAAAAATGACATGAAAATAGTATGCACGCTCACACACTGGCTTAATATCCCATCATGGAAAATATTAAATTCCCCCTTTCTTTTAAGTGAGATGTCTTTTCAATTTTCTCTTCATCTGGAATTAAAAGGCAAAGAATCAAAAAAAAAAAAAAAAATCCTACCAGTACAGCAATATATAGTTCTAAGTAACAGCAGCATATTTTTTAAAAGTTTGGCCTAAATCATTTTATGGTGTTTGCAGGCATCTGCTGGCCATACCAGGTACTGTAACTGAGCCATTTCAGAACTATTGCCACTACATATTGTGAACAAGGATATATATACAAGACACCAAACTGCTGGAGTGCATCATGTAGCCATATCACTCAATGCTCTCATAATGAGAATCTTATCTTAACAACTACATCATTTTACTTTTTACCCTCTCTCCCTACAACCAGAAAGTTGGGGGTGGGGGTTAGATTGTTTGCAACTGATATACACATTTTACAGTTTTTCTCAAGAAGGTCACTCCTAGACTCAAGTTTTTCTGTCTTATTTTCCTGGATCCTCCTAAAGAAGTGGGCATGATAACCATCCCATAATTTCCACTACATACTAAGGATGTAATGTTTATCAGGCCCTGTGTTGGAAAGGAAATTGAAATAGGATTTATACATTCAAGGAATCTCTAAATAAGAAAGCAGATAATGTTAATGAGAGAAGAGTTTAGAACTGAGTACAAACTAAGGGACATAAGAGTACAAAAATGACAAATTCTCGATTCTGCTTAAAAGGGATCAGACGTGTTTCCACAGACATGGTGAAATTTGAGAAACCTTAAGTTTAACCAAATAGATAAATGAGTGCGTGCCATCCTGGCCAGAAAGAGTAAATAAAGGAGGTGTAAAGTAGAGAACTCATACTCATAACAACTCATAGCAACACTACCGGACAGAGTAGAACTTCCCCAGAGGGTTTCCAAGGCTGTAATCCTTACAGAAGCAGACTGCCACGTCTTTCTCCCACCTAGCAGCTGGTGGGTTTGAACCGCCAACCTTTCAGTTAGCAGCCAAGCACTTAACCACTGCTCCTTAGAACAAACATCTGTGGAGGTGCTGGGATCGAACCTGGAACCTTATACATGCAAAGTATGCACTACACCACTGAGCTATACGCTAGGTGTATATATAGGGTCACTATTAGTCTGAATTGACTCAATGCCAACTTTTTTTTTTAATGTAGAGAAATAAGGGCAGCAACAGTGTAGAGTCAAAGGAGACGAGGCTGAAATCTTACACCAAGGCCACATTATGGAATGCTTGGAACATGAGAGGAGTTTGGACTCATCTCTATTGGGGTACAAAGGATTCCCTTATGTGGCCTTTCTGGCCCTGGTCTGTAATCCACATAGGTAGATTCATCGGGCTGTGATCCTGCTGGGAAAGCCTGACATTGAAATTGAAAAGTTTTCCTACATAAACAGCCCATCCCTCAGAGGTTTTGGGGACCTCCTAATCAACAAGAGCCTGGAGAAGAGCAAGTCCTTTGGACATGAGGTCCCCACACTGAGAACATCCTAGACCCAGGTAAAAGAGCTGTAATACGGGTAAAGAGCTGTTTAACACTGAGTCAGTAACAATGAAGACTGAGAGAAAAGGCAGTGGCAAAAACTGCAGCAGTGGGGCCAAAGTAGAGATCGCAACATAGCCGAGAGCACCAGAATGGCAGTGGTGTGAGGCCCAACCAGCTCTTGGAGCAGAGCAGACTGCATTGTGGGGCTGAGCCAGCCTACCAAAAAGGCAGCAGCAGAAGCCCCAGCTAAGCTGAGAGCTGTAATACTTGGGAGTATAGGGAGCCCTCTGGAGTGCAGAGAGCCTGCCCGCTACGACTGGGGTCCCCCACAGTGGAGTTCTGCATTGGGAGCTGTCGTGATGCAGGCCTAGAGCTGGGGCCAGCTCACAGTTGTCTGGACCAGCCAGTGAAGGGCAGAGCTAGCCAAGAGGAGCCACAGAGAGATAGACAGCAAGCACAGCCACACCACACCAGGCGATACCTCAGTTGGCAAAGTGAACCCAGCACCTCAACCAGGGCACACCTGCTGACACCTGAACCATGGCATGCTCACCCAGTGATATAAGAATGGACATTAGTTTTTAGTAAAGGGTAAACAGATCTTCTTTGAGACATAAGTGGGTCCCTCTCCAATGACACAAAGTGGGGCACACGTAGGGGTGGGGGAGGGTGGTTGACCATAAATCTATTCCTATTGTTTGCTGTTTGCTTTCTACATTTAATAATGAGTTTCATCTGCCAATCCTTTGCATCTCGTGTGTACAACTCAACCAGACTGGACAGACATAGCACCCATAGAGACGTTTACACTACTGGTTGGAGTCCTCATCCTAGCAGTTTATGGCTGCTTTGGATTTTGAGGCAACTTGCATATGCTCATGTACCTATAGGTTTTCTTCCCTCCCCTTTCACAGCATTATATATGAAACCCCCACTTCTGAACAGGTCCCAAGTGTCCAAAATCACTGGTTAGGAAAAGAATATACTAAATCACTCCATGCAGAGAACAAGTACCAAGTCCATATTCCATATTCCCGCTGCAATCTCCTGCCATAGCAGGTAGGTCAGGTGTAGTCCTAGTCAGCGAGATGATGTTTCGCTGGGAGTATTATCCTCCTCTGAGGTTGGAGTATTATCCTCCTCCTGGTTTCCCATTAGTTCTTTGACAGCATCTCTCCATCACTGGCTTTGCTCCCATCCCCCATCGCTAAATGTAATTTAGATATACATCAAAATTGTACCCATTCTTTAAAGTCATCTAATTACTAGCGCCATGACAGTTTTCCTATCTCCTCCCATGCAGCCCCAAAACTGAATTTGCTATCTGAACTATGATTTAGGATGATGACTGAGCAACCTCATACAGAAAAAAGAGACGTCAAAAAATATGTAGCTAGAAAATGACTTTTTTAAAATAATATTTTACTGTATTTTTGGTCAAAGTTTACACAGAAAATTAGGTTTCCGTTTGACAATTTCTACACAAATTATTCAGTGACATTAGTTACATTTTTCACAATGTGTCAACATTCTCTTTAATTGCATTCTGGTTGTTTTGTTTCTCGTACTCTAGTTTTCCTGCCCCCTTATCTTCTCATCTTTGCTTCAGAGTAACTGTTGACCTTTTGGTCTCATACAGATGATTTTTTAATAGAGCACTGTATTCATGCACAATGTCCTTTATTTTGTATGGCAATCTGTTATTTCACTAAAAGGTGACCTCACAGGATAGTTTTAGTTCAACGTTTAGGGAGTATCTCAGGGCAATAGTCTCAGGGAGTCCTCTAGACTCAACTGGTCCAATAAGTCAGGACTTTTTAAGAATCTGAGTTCTATTTCACATCTTTCTCCCATTCTATCAGAGTCTATCTATAAAATGACTTATTATCTCTCTTTACTCTCCATTTTTTTTGTCGTTATTCTCTCTACCTAAGAAAGACAATCTTTTCTCACAGTTTCAACTATCAACTTTATGCAAAAAATTCTAAAATCTCTTCCATCCTTCCTTTCTTCTCCATTTAACTCAACTCCATTCCCATATTTCAAGTCATTAATGGGACATATAACTGTCTTATAAGCACCTCAAACTTTACAACTGAATTCATTGCCTCTTGAAAACATACCCTCCCTCTATATGTCCATTAAAATACCACTCTTCTAGTCATACAGTCTTAAATAGGACATAACAGTCTTTGACTTGTGCTATCACATCTGCATTAACTTGGACTTTTCCTACATCTACAGTGTTAACCTGTTGCCCAGCCCCACTCTCGACTTTCAATTCTATCCACATTGGCCTTCTTGAGGTCCTATGAACCTGTGGTGTTTCTGCCCAATTCAGTGCTTTTGCACATGCTATTTTCTCTGCAGGGTATATTCTTCACATCCATCTTCACCTAGCTACTGTCTCCTCATCCTTCATATCTCAGCATTAATATATGTTCCTGAAGAAAGCCTTTCTAATCAGCTGCCTCTCTCAGGCCCTCAGCCCTCACTAGGTCAGATCACCTGGATTTCAGCTAAGAGCAACCTATAATTTTCCTTTAGAGCAATTACTAATGATTACGATGGAGATTTTATACTTACTTGTGTAATCATTTTATTAATACAGTTTCCCCAACTAGACAGTGTATTATGTCTATTTTCTTCACCACAGTTCACATAGCAGGTACTGAATAAACATTTTCTGAATAAACAAATCACATCTGCAATCAGCTGCAATTATACCAAACTCTGACAGTTCTTCATTTTTAATATTTTTCTCAATTCATTTTTCTATCCCTTCCACTAAGCCTATACATTAAACTATAACCTGACAAATTAATACCTAGTTTACTACACACTCTTCTGATTTGTCTTCCTACTTTCAGCTTGTTTTCATCTTAAACTTTCCTGCATATTATTGTTCAAATGTCATTAAGTCAGAAGAGATAAAGAAAAGATTCATGGAGAAGGATAACAAGGTGGGTCATGAAGTCTGCACAGGATTTTGATGGATGGCAATGGCTGGGGAGGTTCCAGATGGAAGAGAAAAGACATGGAGGTGAAACACGTAAAACATATTCAACTTTGAGAGAAATTAATTGCAGAGAAATACGTGACATGATTGGCTTAACAAAAAAAAACCTAATAAGTGTCAGTACGTTAAATGGCTATACTAGGAAGAACAACGAAGTGCTCTAGATTTGAGAAGAGAAAAGAGTGTCTGTGCTAGGCAACCTGAGGAGGTCGGAAGGGGCACAGTACCTCTGTGAACACTGTAAGGGTCTCTCTGCCTGTAAGTTTGTAGCGGCCAAGACCAGACCCTGGAAAATTTAGA